AAATTTTTACCCACTTCCCAATGTGCTATCGACTGCAAACTGGGTATACTTATTGTATCATTAAAATTTTAAAATGTATATTTTTAAACATTTTACACGCTTTTTTATTTAACTCTGTCTGTTGTTGTATCCTCAAATCTTGTAACTCAATTTCATCCGTCTTCCCAATGTCGTATCGACTGCAAACTTGGTATAGGTATGTCATACTGATGACAATACTATATTCTATCATTAAAAATTAAAAATAAATATTTCAAACAATCTTTTTTACGGCTCTAATTGTCCACGCTCAACTCACGTTGGCTATAAATCACCACGTGGTCCCTTACGTCACAGCAAGCCTCGGGGAGCCACGCCCAGGGGGCGGGGGATGTGGAAGGAGGGGAGGGGCGATGGGGGAAGGGGGCAGGGGGAGGGGCAGCTCGGACAGTACATTTCATTAAAGCATGTTTTTTAAAGTATTTTTAAATATTTTATTTTTACACGCTTTCTATTAACTCACTGTTGTTGTTGTATCCTCAAACATTGTAACTCAATTTTAACCCACTTCCCAATGTGGTATCGACTGCAAACTGGTATACAGTACTTATGTCATACTGATGACAATACAGTACTATATTCTATCATAAAAAAATATTGTTGGCTGTAAATCACCACGGTGCCTTACGTTATGGGAAGCTTCGGGGCCACTTCCTGAAGTCGTGGAGTTCTTCCATTACTAGTAGGGTACATTTCATTAAAGCGTGTTTTTAAAAAAAGTTTTTTTTTTTATATTACTTATTCAGCCACTGGACCGTGATTAAATCGGTGTCTAAAGTATAGCGAGTTAATGGTCTCAGAACAGTCACCAATTAATTTGTACAATATTTTTTCAAAATTATTTATTCCCCGCTCGATTGGGATAAACTTCCAGCTTTGAAACGAAAGGGGAAAAAGATTCTTCCCATTTAACCGCCACGCGATGACATCGCTACAGCGTGGCACATGAGAAATTGCCGCACCCCTGTTGTGGATTAGAGGCCACTTCAAGGGATCTCAGAAGTAGTTCTGTGTTATCTCCTTCCACGGGGCTGCTTACGATGGCTGTAGAGTTTGGTGGTACATGTTGTTTACGTCGTTTATTGTGAAAATTCGGTCACAGTTCCTATGATCACTGTTTCATTGCTTTTACGGCTTTATTTTTGTGATTTTTGAAAAGTTTTTCGGTTTGGCCATGTTTGTTTGTTGTAGTACAGAGTTAGACTGATGGCCTTAATCTAAGTTGTCTTGTGGTTGTTGTTGTTGTTGTTTGACTTGCATCCCACTGGGATTTTTGCACACAGCGTTGGTGTACGGTGCTTTTTCTGCAATATTTTGCTCTTTTCTTGGATTTTCTGTTTGCACATAGTCACTTTAAGATGTTTTCTTGTTCATGTTTTAGTTTTTTTGTTTGTTGCGGTTGCACCCGATTCAAGATCCGAATGGCTCACAGGCCTATACCTAATAAATGAAACTTCAAATTTAAACATTGCCCAATGAGAGCTCCAAAAGGACACTTGGCAATCACGTGATGTGATAGCGCAGTTTGAAAAAAAAATGTGAATAAATATATTTCAATGTATAATCTTCAACTACATTATGAGGTGCATTGCATCTACAGTATATGATTGGCAGCTCGAATGCAGCAGTGTAAAGTGTGGGTACTCTGACTTCTCTCTCTAGACATCTGACCGGGGTGGAAAAGGAGGAGGCCAAATTGTTCTCGTGAGGCTTTCGAGTGCTATCTATAGTCGGGAGGCCCTTTCACCAGCAGTGCCACGAGAAGGCAATTGCAGGGCTGCACCTTCACCTATTCTTGTACATGTGTGGGCATGAGCACGTGTGTGCGTATGAGTGGACAGAGTTAGTGCAGTGGATAATAGAGGGGTTTTTTTGGGGTTAGATCGCCGAAATATATAAATGTGTCATTAAACCCGCCACCACCCGACGCAGCCAATTAGTAAGGTTTGTCATTTAAACAAAATGCGCTAATTAGTTACCACTTCAGCACACCGGTGTGTTGGAGACTAAACCCACAAGATTTTTCAGAGCGTTACGCGAGTTCGATTCCCGCTCACGGCCACCAACAACCGATGAAGGTTATCTGAACCAGTCCTGGCCCTCCCGTAGGTCGACTCAGTCTTAAATGAGTGCCTGTTGTGGTGTGTGAACAGAGGGGGTGGCCACCCACCCCCTCATAGGTGCACCGTGCCGGCCTTCATAGGTGCTCGCTAACAGCACTTGCCCCAACAGTGTGTTAAGATTACATGGGGGATCTTTGTCTTTGCCCGTGGGTGGAGTGGCGGTGCAGTAGTTATCGCACTGCGCTATGAATCTGGCGATAATGTGCGCACACGCACGGCCACACACACACATAAGTACACACCACTCCCCTTAACTGCGCAGTATTGAACGCTAGCGTGTAACGTGCCCCTGATAACACAACCCTCTCGCTCTCCTCTCATCCATCTCTCGCCCCCCCTCACCCCCATCACCCCCCACCAGCCACCTCATCCGCCCTAGATGCGTGTCCCGTTCCCCGCAGGGCAAACACTATCCCTTGCCGGGGCAAGATTCAGCCTCCGCTCAGCTGTTAAGCCGGCTCGTTGGGTCGGCCAGACCACCGTGCGCACACAGTGCCAGACTATTTATAAGCACGGCCTTGGTGGTGGTGGTGGCGGCGGTGGCAATAGTCGGCGGCGGTGGTGGTGGCGGCGGTGGCCAGAGGCGTCTGTATGTTTTATAATAGATCCCCGCGTATCTTCGCGCGCGTATTTGAGGTCAGAATGTTTTGGGTAAAAGACGCCGCAGAGTTGTGCCAACTGGGGTCGGCTTTTTTTCCTTTTGCTGGGTCGCGGCGCGCGGCGTTTGAGGCTTTGTTTTGGGTCTCGCCGCCCCATTCCTAATGAGGTGTTAATGGGCCTCGTTCAAGAGTGCGGTGGTGGCGAAAGCCAAAAAAATGCCATCGGCTTCCTGATCATCTCCCGGCAAGCCAGTGGGGGTCAACTCCACATAACCGCGACGGGGGTGTGTGCGGGAAGTCCACCCGCGGAATAAACCACCACATGGTAGTCGTGGTGTCCACGTTGGAGGAGGAGTCAAACGCAGCTGGGATTTAAACTCGCAAGCCTCGAAATTGCGAGCCCGTTGCACTCTAAACGAACCGTGCACACACTTGGCCAGACATCACCGTGGTCTCGTGCCCGTGCGATCACAGCCGTTTCGTAAATTTATTTGCACAATTATCACCTCCCCCGATGTGCATTTCATTGCTGGGGGAGTGCTGGCTGTGAAGGCGAGGAGATTTTTTGAGTCGTAGGGACATAGAAGTACGGTACAATTATATATGTTGCTGCATTGCCCTCTCCCAACCTACCACGTAAACCCTGAACAGGCTCGATGACATCCAGGCGCTATCCAGGCTCAGACCTGCTTAGCTTCCGAGATCTGGCGAGATCGAGCGAAATCTGGCTGATTTGGTCATGGGCCCACTACAGTACACACACACACACGTTTCTATATGCAGTTACGTTCATACAGATAAACATATGCATATGGCAGCTACACTGAGCAAAACTTCTGCAACCCAGTAATTGGCTGGCTTAGGAGTCATTTCATCTCCGACCGTAACCGCACCGGGATCGCTCGCGCCTCCTCCCACTTGCAAGCGGCCTCCTCCGCACGCAGTCTGGATGTGTTTTAGCGGCAAATTAGTTGCTCCCTTCCGGCCATGTGATTCCCATTACCGCCAATCGGTGCGGCCTCGGCAGCGGACGTTTGACGCGGTTGCGTCCTCCCGAAGATTTAGTTTTTTGGTGCCTTACGACTGCGGAGGTTTTCGCGGTTTTGCGCCGTCGCACGGCTTGCTCAGCGCACGCGCGCTTCCAGGTTGTGACGCGCGTCTGTTCGACGTTGCGTCCGACGTTTCGCTCCGTGTGTGTGTGTCGCGGGCGGGGGGGGGGGGCTTCTTCAAGGAACTGAAGAAGCTCACCTCGGGAAGTTTCCGAGAGAAAAAAACCCGGCTGCCAATGCGAGGCTGCGGGTACGCGGAGCGAAACGTCGGGACGTTGCGCTGAGCAACACGTGGCGTGCAATTTCTGGGATGCGTCGGAGGGACGGGAATTTCAAACCTTTTAAAATAGTCTGCCTCAGCAGCGGATCATGCTTTCCCATCTGATAACGGACACTTGTGTTGCGCCCGAAACGTCGTGATTTATTTTATTTTCTACCCACGTGACTTTACCAAAAGAACCGAAGAGTATGGATTCCTGCAGTCACGAAAGCTTCAAATCAAGATTGACGGAAACAAAATTTGACAAAAAAATCTGATGGCTTCTTCGGTCAAACCGTGACCCCAGAAACCGTAACCCCAAAAACGTAGGCAGGCAGGCGCTTATAATTTTTCTCTTCTCACCTTGGGACCCACTCATCCATGGCGTCACTCCTGGTGGGAACGGAACTTGGCGGGGGCAGCAGTTTCTTTCGAACAAAAGCTCCGAAATGTGCCTCTGATTTGTGACTCTATTCTTAATGCTTTCCAAATAATGTTCAAACACGTGAATGCCGTGGCTTGATCCGGTCCATCTGTGTGTCTGTCCGCAACAGGAGGGCCACGATAACTGAGAGAATTTATCAAATTTCTGCACACGGACCGGACTTCTTTTCCCATCTCGTCAATTTAAACATACTTATACGTAGTTACACATTCACGCACTTGTTCTCATATATACATACAAACATCCAAACACATTCACGTATACCGCCTGTGTTATAATTCAAGAATCCAATTCTACTTTGTCTCGTTTTTCCCCAACGTTACTTGTTTATTCCTCACTCCATCAATCGACAAATGAATACATCAGCACGCTCACTAAACACTTTACCCCCTAGCCAACCGTCCATTTCAAACCCGATCGCTAAGCGGCCATTACTGCCGCCCCCCCCCCCGCTCCTCCCCTGCCGGTGCTGCGATGATGTCACAGAGGCGCTGCACCGGCCGCTTCCGCTGGTGCCGGAATCGGAGGGGCTGGCGCTGGAGGAGGGGCCCTCCTCGCTGGGGCTACCCGAGAACGACCCCAACCTCTTCGTGGCGCTCTACGACTTCGTCGCCAGCGGGGACAACACCCTGAGCATCACCAAAGGTTCGGCGAGGCGGCGCCGGCGAGCGATGTCCCGCGTGGCATGCGGAGATCCGGGAAAGACGGTGGTCTGGAGAAGATAGCGCTTATAGATGCGCTACTGCGGCCGTCTGGAACGCTCTTCCTTTCAATATTAGGAAGCCACTGGAGCGATGCACTTTTAAATCAACTAGATTGCAAACTAATTTCTTTTGAACTGATTTTTGTGTTTAGTTTGCTGTCCTTCCCCTAAACGTCTAGTTTGCCCGGTTGGCTACGTACGGTGCGAAAGAAGTTCAACATACTACGTAGATGCCAGTTTTCTCAGAGCACTTTCCTTTAAATCCAAAGCGCAGGGCACTTTAAAAAAATGAAATCCCATAAATGATAACCGTGTGCAATGAAATGAAAATAAATGTGCAGATAGGATGCATCCTACATGATACATCGGAGAAACAAGATAAGCTCATTAAACATTTATGGAGCGTGCAATTCATATTCTCATGTGTCAGCAAACTCTTTTTAAACGCACAATATTCATGTATTCACATCGTGAATGCAAAGATTTTACAAGCTATAAATTGATAATTGTTTTTTTACTTTTCTATCTGGCAACAAAACTGACACCTTTTTTACAAGGAGTCATGTTTGCATAGACCACAATACCTGCAGCCATAATGCAAACAAAACACACAACTCTGATAATGATATGCACTGTCCTTGAAGTTGATTGGTCCACACCAGAGACAGCTTTCCTTAGAGCCTAGTCTCACATGATGTTGGACCAGATGACGCTATAAATTGCCGCGTTATTTTACTTTTTCCAGGCGAGAAGCTGCGCGTCCTCGGCTACAACCACAACCACGAGTGGTGCGAGGCGCGCACGCGCAACGGCCAGGGATGGGTGCCCAGCAACTACGTGACGCCGGTGCACAGCCTGGAGAAGCACGCGTGGTACCACGGCCCGATCTCGCGCAGCGCCGCCGAGTACCTGCTGAGCAGCGGCATCAACGGCTCCTTCCTACTGCGCGAGTCCGAGAGCAGCCCCGGGCAGCTGTCCATCTCGCTGCGCTGCGAGGGGCGCGTCTACCACTACCGCATCAACACGGCGAGCGACGGCAAGGTGAGGGTGCCGCTGCCGCTATCGCGACTGCTGCCGCCAACACCGCCAGCACTACCATGACCGCCACTACCACCGCTACCACTGCCACATCAACACGGTGAGCCGTGGCAAGGCAAGGCCGCCACTACCGCTATCGCGACTGCTACCGCCAACACCGTTGCCACTACCACGGACGCCACTAGCACCGCTACCACTGCCACATCAACACGGTGAGCCGTGGCAAGGTGAGGCCGCGACTACCGCTATCGCCACTACTACCGCCACCACCGTTGCCACTACCACAGCTGCCACTAGCACCGCTACCACTGCCACATCAACACAGTGAGCCGTGGCAAGGTGAGGCCACCGCCACCACTGCCGCATCAACACGATGAGCGACGGGCAAGGTGAGAGACATTACCCACCGGCACGTCAGAAATTCCGCGTGCAGCAGCCCCCCCGAGTTCGACGCGACAGGGACCTGGGGGGGCTCACTGGCCCACCCACGTGGCACGGGGAGGAGGTGAGAAGGGGGGGAACCGGGGGGGGCGGTATGGGGGGGCGAAGAAAGAATCTTAAACCTGACTTCCTTAAATCGCCCCCCCGTGCGTCGCCCATTATGTCATCGTTTAAAATTATCAATGGGACTCGTGGCAGCGCTGCGGCGGACTGCAATGCGCAGGAGGCACGGCGGGGGGGGGAGGGGGGCGTTGTAAATCTGCGCTCTCCTCCTCCCCGGAGGGGGATGTAGAAATCTCCCCCCCCCCCCGTCACCTGCTTCCGCGCCGGATGTAACGGATCTGTCGAGAGAATGCGCTGTGTGTGTCGCTGTCAAGGGCCTCACTTCGGCCGGACCCTGGCGTTTCGCGGGGGCTGATCCGAGCGCTCAGAGCGATGGCACGTTTACACCGCTGGTGCCGACCGGCGACACCGCCGCCAGATGTTGCGTCTAGACAAAGATGTAATGACGTGAGAGAGATGTGGACAAGATGCAGAGATCTGGTGAGATGATTCTAGATTTGAAGCTTTCGTGACTGCAAGGATTCTGGTGAGATGAGATAGATGCAGAGAGCAGATAAAGATGTAGTGAGATGAGAGAGATGTGGACAATAGACAGATGGAGTGAGATGAGTGAAGAGAGCTGCTGAACACCAGATGATGGAGTTGAGTGAGAACAATATGCCCATTCATGATGAGTGGCTTTTTATGTCCACGACGTTTTGGATTGAAGACGACGTTCGCATCGCCCCTATTCATTTATTGATTCCTCACGAATCCGGGAACCACTCTGAGCTGCTAGGGGGCCCTAAGCATTTGCGTTAATTTGCCGGTGCCGAAGCGCCACCGCTGGTTGCGCCTCCCGAAAGAAGCCGCGTGGAGTGGCCCCGTGAGATGACCACTGCACTGCCCTTTTACTGCGGCGGGGGCGGGGGGGCGGTGGTGCAGCAGTTAGCGCTACGCCGCGCTACGAACCCGGCGAACCCGAGTCCGATTCCCGCTCGTGGCCAACACCGGTGACGATTATCTGAGCTTGTCGTCGGCCTCCTCCGCTAGGTCGACTCGGCCTCAAATGAGTAGCTGCTACGGTGTGTAGTAAACATCGCCACTGGGGAGACAAAGGCGGCCGGGCGTGGTGCTGGCCACCCACCCCCTCGTGCGCCGTGCCGGTCTTCATAGGCGCTGCTCGCTAACAGCACTTTGCCCCAACAGTCTGTTAAGGCTACACGGGGGTTCTTTGTCTTTGGCGGTGGTGGTGGTGCCGGTGACGTCACTCGAGGGATTTTTGCCGCAGGGATGAAGGGGGAGTGGCGTCTCTGCATCGCGGCACGGGGAGGCGGTGTGGAGACGATGGTGGCGGGGCGATCGCGAGCGGTGGCGCAGCGGTCAGCGTTGCGCTGCGCTCCGAACCCGGCACCTGAGTTCGATTCCCGCTCACAGCCAACACCGGTGACGATATTGGGAACCGGTCCTGGGCCTCCTCTAGGTCGACTCAGCCTCAAATGAGTACCTGGTGCGGTGTCTAAACATCGCCACTGGGGAGACAAAGGCGGCCGGGCGTGGTGCTGGCCACCCACCTCCTTCGTGTGCCGTGCCGGCCTTCATAGGTGCTCGCTAACGGCACTTGCGCCAACAACCTGCTCAGGCTATATGGGGGATCTTTGTTTTTTTTGGTGCCGGGGCGATGGCTAACGGTTCAGGCTGTGGCTTAGGCGCTTGGGCAAAGCAAAATGTTAGTGGCCAGGAATCGTGAAGGATCTAGGGGTGCATCGAATATCAGCTCGGATTCGAATCCCGATTGAACGTGACAAAATAGTTTGCATGAATCTCTCTCATCTCTGTCCCTTGTGCATCTCTGTTCTCTCATCTCACTGCACATCTTATCTGCCCAGTTGTTTCTTGTCTACATCCCCTCTGTCCATGACCTCACTGGGAATATCCGTCTCTCGTCTGTATCCCTTGCCTCACGCCTCACGCCATCTCGGTTCATCGTTTGTCCACGATTCTCCTGAATTCTCTCTCTAAATCTCAATACGTTTTCATCTCACGCCGGTATCTCTGCTCACATTCTCTCATCTCACGAGGATTACCGTGAATTGACAGCGGGAGGGGGAAGGTGGGGGGAGGATGAGGGAACCACCCCCCCCAACCACCACCCATTGGGGTCCAGGGGGCCTGGTTCCCAGCGCGACCTTTGACATCTGTCGTCGTGAGCGTTAGGGAACCCAGAGAGAGGGGGGGGGGCGACTCTCAACCTTGATTTCAAGTCTCAGCGTTGTTGTTTTCTTTTTCATGTAATTATGATGATTGTTATTATTATTATTATTTTCTTCTAAGCGATTTTGACAATGAGGGGAATGTCTCACCCAGGCCCAGCCCTGAGGCCTGAGCTTGGGAGCGTTTGATTTTCTGGGTGCCAAAGTGGCTAGGATATGTTAACTACCTCGCCTGATATACAGGAAGTCGTGGGTTCGATCCCGACACTGACGCCTGCTGTATATTTGGAATTTGCGGTGTCTCTCTCTCTCTCATCATCACGGTGGCTGGGAGATGTTAACTACCTCGCCTGGAATACAGGAGGTCGTGGGTTCCATCCTGACCCTGATGCCCACTGTATATTTGGAGTTTGCGGTGTCTCTCTCTCACTCTCATCATCACAGTGGCTAGGAGATGTTAACTACCTCGCCTGGTATACAGGAGGTCGTGGGTTCGATCCTGACCCTGATGCCCGCTGTATATTTGGAGTTTGCGTGTCTCTCTCTCTCTCTCATCATCACAGTGGCGAGGAGATGTTAACTACTTCGCCTGGTATACAGGAGGTCGTGGGTTCCATCCCGACCCTGATGCCTGATGTATATTTGGAGTTTGCGGTGTCTCTCTCTCTCTCATCATCACGGTAGCTAGGAGATGTTACCTACCTCGCCTGGTATACAGGAGGTCGTGGGTTCGATCCTGTATATTTGGCGTTTGCATGTTCTGCACATGGAGGGGAAAAACCGGAGCACCCGGAGAAAAATCCACACAACCACGGGGAGAGAGACACGCAAACTCCACATATACAGCAAACGTCAGGGTCGGGATCGAACCCGCGACCTCCTGCATACCAGGCGATGAAATTAACATCTCGCCAGCGTGGGGCAACGACCCCCGGCGGCGGGTGATGTCACCACCGCCTTTCGACCGTCGCCGTTCAAGGGCCTATCGCTTGCAATCGTTAAAAATCCGCCCTCCTTCGGCGGCTCCGGTGGCATGGGCGATGCGCACAGCCGCTATCGCGTGTCTTGTCGAATCGCTCGCGAGAGAACGGCCAAATGACCTCCCAACACTTGTACAGCATGGGGATGCCCTAATCCAGCAGTGGATTAACAAAAGTGCTGTAACACCTGTACTTGCATACGGTCAAACTCAAACGCATAAGAGTCTTTCTTGCTGCACAACAATATTATTGTTTTGTTCAGGTCCAGTCAGCCTACGGTGTGGGCCTTTTGGACTCGCGTTAAATAACGGCGTTTCTTTAAGCTGACGTACCGTAAGCGGTTTCGACTTTGAGGGCCACGTTAGGAGATGTTGCCGGCAGATTGGTGTATCCCACAGAGATGGAAGCTGCGTGGGAGAAGCTGGTATGGAGGGCAGCAATTTATCCACCCACTCATCTTGCCACTAATTTACTCACTCGCTCACTCTTTCAGCCAGTCAGTCATCCACCAACGTTACTGACCATTACAAATGTTGAGCTTCTTCTTCTTTCGCACTGTACGTAGCCAACCGGACAAAAAAACTAACACAAAAAGCAGTTCCATAGAAATGAGTTACATCCAATCACTTGCGCTCAACACCATCACACCCATCCATTCATCCAGAAATCCACTCACCCACCCAGCTACTCATCCACCCACTTATTTACTTAGTCGTCCATCCGACCATTACAAAAATTCTCCAACTCGCCCATGTATTGACTCGCTTGCTCACTCACTCGCTCACTCGCTCACTCACTCACTCGCTCAATTGCATAGACGCCACCATTCCACCCGTCCATCCATTCGTGCACACACCCACCCACTCACCCACCGTTTCGGAGTAACGCGTGATGGACAGCGTGCATCGTTAACGCAACGCAATTCCACTGAGAAACTGTGTTGAGACTCCCGCCGGCATGCTAATGGAGGCTGCTTAAATTGGGGCATTTCACCATTGATTTTCCTGTTTGTTTTTGTTTATGCAGCACTTAATGGGCTGCTCCCTAAATTGCGTCGGTAATTACAAAGCAAAAGCGAGCAGCGGTGATGATGACGATGATGACGACGATAACGCCCAAAGTTCTGAGCCTTCCCAGACTGCTTGGAACTTCTCTGTTTTTGTTCCAATGCTGTGTGGGCTAAGTCCTTACCCTCCATTCCCCATTCTTCTCTCCCTCCCTTCCCTCCATTGCCAGAGGGAAGCGATCATAATTGAATTGTTTTATATATATATTATGTATGTTTGGATTAGCTTTTGTTACCCCAAGTGAAATATAAAAAAGGTAT